TCTACAGAGAAAAACAACTGCATTGTGAGGATGCATTGTTATAGGAAATAGTCATTTGTGTATTCAGCAAACATTTATTTTAGTAGCCAAGCATACTGGCTAAGAGCATAGACTGTGAACCTAGACTTTTGGGTTAAAAAGCCAGATTCACCCTGTGACTTCAGATGAGTTACTTAATCTAAATACCACAGTTTCATCATTTGTAAAATGGATATAATGGTAGCACCTACTTCACAGTTTTATGAGAAGATTAAAAACATGTATACACGTAAAGTGCCTGGCATATGATAAGAACTCAAATATTAAATATCATTATTAGATGTTGTCGTATCTTTAGGAACCTGAGTTTATACTGATAACTTGCTGGGGGGAAAACATTCTTTCTTAGCAAAATAGAAGATAAAGGAGTTCTTTTTTCCAGGTGGCTCCAGTCTAAACTACTTTACAGATTGACACTTAATCTTTATGGAAATTATGGCAAGCACATATTTCTGGGAGGAATACACTGATATATGCAAACATACATGTTGATCTTAGTGACCTGATGCAAGATTTCGGGTAGACGTGTATTTCATATCATTGTGCCCTAATATTTTAAGAGGAAGTGACTAACCACAATATTTGACTAACTGTCAATCATGCCAGTAAACAGTTATGGACCCAGGAAGTAAAAATATTGCTTCTAACCTTGGCTATTTTAGATTAACTTTCAAGTCAGTAATCTTTACAACCTATTGTGGGTCAGTATTCAAAGATGATTTAGTTATAGTCGTACGCTGCATAATGATGTTTTGGTCAACAACAAACCACATATACGACGGCGGTGCCATAAGATTAGTACCATAGAGCCTAGGTGTGTAGTAGGCTACACAGTCTAGATTTGTGTGAGTACACTCTGTGATGTTCACACAATGACGAAATCGCCTAATGACACATTTCTCAGAATGTATCCCTGTCGTTCAGCAATGCATGACTGTACAGTAGTCCCCCCTTATCTGTGGTTTCAGTTACCTGTGGTCAACCACGGTCCGAAAATAGTAAATGGAAAATTCTAGAAATAAGCAGTTCAAAAGTTTTAAATTGTACACCATTCTGAGTAGTGTGACGAAATCTCCTGCCTGGGACATGACTCCCTTTGTCCAGCGGACCTATGCTGTATACACCACCTGCCCGTTAGTCACTTAGTAGCCTCTTGGTTATCAGATGCACTGTCATGGTATCGCAGTGCTTGTGTTCAAGTAACCCTTATTTTACTTAATAATGGCCCCAAAGCCAACTTTATTATTAGTTATTGTTGTTAATCTCTTACTGTGCCTAATTTATAAATTAAACTTTATCATATGTATGTATGTATAAGAAATAACATAGTATGTATAGAGTTCAGTACTCTCCGAAGTTTCAGGCATCCACTGGGGGTCTTGGAACATATCCCTGTGGATAAGGGGGGAGTACTGTGTATCTATTGGTTTTCTTTCTCTAAGTATATCAACAGCATGGAAAGATGGGGTTAGGGAAGAAATGATTCTATGGTGCTGAAATCCTACTGTTCCTAGTATTTATAATCTAATGTCTCTAACTAGCTATACAATTTATATTAAAGCAGATCTGGTTCTGCCTCACAGAGATATTTAACTTTGTATAATGTTTACTTGAGAAATTGTAGTTAGTACTTCACAGCCTATTCCAATGGATTTGTCATGGTTAAATTCAGTTAATTTTGTATTCTGTTTTTTTTTTTTGACTTTTGGCAATACTAATACAATAAAGATCATATATCATCCCATATAAGGATTATAACTGATTTCTTACAGTTATACAGTATATTTAAAATGTATCTTTTATGATTCTTAATCTTTGGATGGAAAATATGTTACATATGAAGGTTTTTTTTTAAAAAGCTTCTCTGTCTTGCATTTTTCCTTCATTCGAGTCAGTACATTTCAGCTATAAAGTATGTAACAGTGTCTGTTTTAGCCAAAAAAAAGAAAAAAATCCCACCTTTTGGAGCTATAAAATATACAGAATTGAAAGCTGACACCTAATATATTTTTCATTAGATACAGATGTTCAATGTAAAATTCTTCAAGTATTCATGAAAAGCAGGAGAACTAAAATTTTTCAGGTATAAGGCATAAAAAGTAAAAATCGTACCTTTTGGTAAATTGCTAATGACTTTTTAATGAAAGCCATTCTTCTTTTTATAATTTATAAGTTCTTTTAAATTTATTGTAATCATCTTGTCACTTAAAATTATGAATAGAATCTTTAAATTGCCATGGAGCTTAGTGAAATAAGAATACCTAAAAACCTCTTCAAATTTAGAAAGTCTTATACATAATTTAGAGAGGAATCGTTCAACAATTTAGAGTAAAGTTTACCTTCTTTACCTTGAAATTTAATTGGTAATTTTGAACGTATTTCTAATTTTTATTTTTTGTACTTGTTTGCAAAATAACTTATTATTGTAAAAAATGAAGGCCAATATGGTGAATGCATAATAGTAATTCTGTTGTGCTGGCTTTTTGTATCTTGAGACTATTACTTTCATTCCCGAATTGAGTTGAGCTGCATACAGTTTTGAAATAATAGTAGCTCTGTGTAGGCTCCCTCGTGGCGAGTACTTAGAGCTACTGATGTTTTGCCACCTGCAGAAGTCATTATTCTAACTGGAGGCTAAAATGTGAACTCTCCAGTAGAGGAAAAAGAACATTAAAAAAAAAGTAATTCTCTTCCCTTCTTCATCTGCCCTTCCCCCCAAACTGAAAAAAAAAATCATTTCAAACAGATGTTTCTTGAAATCCAAATATATTAGATACTGTGAGTTTAACTTTAAGCCAGTAGTTTATCTATTGTTCTAGTTGCATTATGTTTGAGTGTTCGTGGAATTGAACTGCATGCATTTGTTTTAAGATGAAAGTTAATCCTATGAGAGTCTCAGCATAAAACTGTAAAATACTTCCTTTTCTTGCTTTAACGTAACTACTTTTCACAAAAATAATACCCAACATTTTCTCAAAGTTTTCCAGTAGTTTATTTCTTCATTCGTTAGTTCACATGCTCACAGAACACAGGTGAGCCTGGATTTTACTAGGTGCCTACTATGTGAATAACATTATGCTTACCTCTGTAGGAACACACACACACAGATATCCCTCAAGAGGTTTATAGTGTATTGAGGAAGACGAGAACTTTATACAAAGCAATAGAAGAAGGTTGACAAGTGCCAGAGTGAGTGGTACTCATCAGTATGACCATAGAGGAAAGAAAGCAGTGTGCACTGGGAGGATCTCTTTCTGGATTTCTAATGAAAGGAACGATAGACCTTGGCCAGGCAGGTAGAAGTTAGGAGGACATTGTAGGCAGGGGCCATTCCAGGAACAAAGGCATGACAGTAGGAATGGGAAGGTCTGCTAGAGGAACTGTGAAGGCCAGGTATAGACCAAGGAGCAGGGTCTAAGGATGTTAGATAAGAAAGGTGGATCAGAGGAAACGGGAGGCCTTTGGATATTGAGTTAAAGTGGATATGTCTCATCTTTAGGTAGGGGAAAATATTAGGAACTATGCAATAAAGATGAAGAATGACCCAGTGAGGGTGTTGTCTAGCAATAGTAATTTTAGCAATGAATGTGGTAAGTTTAGAGAGAGAAGTTGAGGATACAGGAATAGCTGTTATTATTATTGCTAGAGGTTTAGTTATCAGATGATGAAAATTTTTATTAAGGTAATGATACCAGAAACAGAAGGAAGCATGAATCTTCAGGACTTGTGACTAATAAGTTATAGGAAATTAAGGCACGAAAATAAAATATTCTGAAACTTAGAGAATTGCAAAACTAGGAAAAGGAGAGAGCTTTGGGAGAGATGAGTTTGGGGAGCATATAAGAAAAAAATTAGTGGTTTTATAGGGCTGGGGAATAAAGAAATCAGGAGTGTCAGTTAAAGGGTGCAGGGTGTCTTTTGGAGGTGATAAAAATGTTCTAAAATTGTTGTGATGATTGCACGATTCTATGAATAGCTAAAAGCCATTGAATTATACACTTTAAATGGGTGAATTGTAAGTTATGTGAATTATATCACAAAAGAGCTGTGACCAAAATAAAAGAAAAAAAAAAAAGAAAGAAAATATGCTTTGGGGCATATAAGAAAAAAGAAAAATAACCTTTAACCAGTTCAATGTCAGGGATGAACAACTGTGAATCATGTTCATCAGAGCAGTCGTTGAAGCTGTGAGACTGGTTATAAAGAGAGAGAACAAAGTAGGGACCCGAACCCGATGATCCCACAGGTCATGGACTGTGGTAGGAGGGGGAATGGTTAGAGAGGTGGGTTTTCTTACCGAGACCTTATCACTTACATTAATTTTACCTGTATTATTTTAATCACGAAAACAAATTCAATAGAATTTAGAGATGTGGCTTTATGCTTTGGCCATGCAATTAAAGTTGCCAATGGTGGTTGATTTTTGATATGGTATGACTCTCTTTCAAATTAAAGAAAAGAGAGCTATAGCGTTCTTATAATCAAAGACATGTATGTAACATGAAATACCAGTTCTGCTTCATGCCCTTGCTTTGCAGCCCAATGTAATTGAATGGGCTACTGAGGATGAGAACTGAATGAATCTCAGAGGCTGAATTGTATAATCATTGGTAAAGCTCGTTCCTTGGGTTTCATTGACTGGTTGGTTTTTATTCCTCTCAATTGCTAAATGGTGGGACTCTTTCACCCAGGATATCATTTTGCCACTTGTAGTGTGAAATGAAACTTTTATGCACTTGAAACTATATTATGAAGATATAAAATGTTGAGATTCTTTCAACCAAAGAAAAACATAAAATTCCAAAGAAACCATTCTTTCCGGTGAGTTCCTATCCCACACGTGTAACTTAGCTGGAATAGAAATGTTGATCGTAAAAACTGTGTCAAATATGTTGGCGTGAATGTCACATTTGTGTTGCGGAATGATGATGCTTTTATAACACTTCGTTGTGGTATTGCAGGGAAGGAGATAACTGCAGAAACTTTCATGGAGAAATTGGATAATGGTGCCTTGCTCTGTCAACTTGCAGAAACTGTGCAGGAGAAATTCAAAGAGAGCGTGGATGCCAACAAGCCCACAAAGGTAAAAGATGCCAAGGCAAAAATCACTGTCAGGAGGTGGATTACATTTGTAGTTACTCAGAAATTGAGTTTCATTTGAGAATTTTGTTGTGAATGGATACATCAATGTCTCTAACAACAACAAAACACAGAGGGTGCTTTTTAATTAGGTAACGTTATTTGTATTCTAATTACATAAATTACGTAATCCTTTTTGTAAGTCTAATTAAAGAGAAGGTCTTGGAAATTGTTGGTGTTAATACAAAACAAGTACTGTGTATAAACCGGTCAAATCTGATCTATCAGTTGAAAATTTAGCAGGGAAATAATTTATGTCATCAGACAATAAAAAAATCTGGCCAAGAAAGATTTACTGAATAGGTCTTTGTTTCCAAATAGATTATTGTGGCAGAATACTGGAACAAAAGCTCTGGACTGAATAATTTTTTGTTTGTTTTAAATAAGTAGTAGCATTGAATTAAGTAACTTTGGACAAATTATTTTCTTTCTGAATGCTCAGATTTCTTTTCTGGACATTAGTTCTAATATTCTTTTCTGGTTATTATAAACACATAATAAAAGTGTAGTGTTTGATATTTTTTGAAGCAAACAAGATAGATGACATTTTTCTTAATTTTTAATAGAGAAGGGAAAGACGTAAGAAAAAATAAGATTAAAATAAAAATAAAAAACAACTGTTAAGCATTCTGTGAAAAAGAGTAAAACCAATTATTTCTGTATAGTTTCTTAATGATTACTGAACTAAAATCTGAATAAAAGATCAAGTCCCCTAAAACAGTGTATTTGTTTTTTACAGTGCTGTACTTATTTTGGGGATAATATTTTATATCACTCTGTAAAGTACTATATAATATACAAAGCCCCTCCATTTTTTTTTAATCTTAAAAGCAGCTCTGTGAAAGTATTAGTTAATTCAGTGGCTCCCAAACCTTGCTGCACTTTGGAATCTGCTGAATATCTTTAAAAGCTACTGAGAACTGACTCCTAAGCCTGAACATTCTGATCTTATCTCTATGGGGTGCAATCTGGGGACTGGGATTTCTAAAACAGCTCTGCAGTTGATGCTAATGTGCAGCAAAGTTTGGGAACCACTGCGTTCATTTCTTTTCTTCGCTATTGGATAGACGCAGACTAAGTGGCTTAGACAAGATCACCCAGCTAGTCAGCGACCGAGCAAGAACTGGACGTAGTCATCTTCTTTCCAAGTCTAGTGCTCTCTCATTTTGGTTCACTATGGGTAGCACAGACATAAGGAGACTGTTTCTGAAAATGCTTTGTGTCAAACAATGTTAGAATATTAGGAAACCAATTGTCCTTTGCCTGCAGTTTCCATTGTAATGTAACGGCCTTGATTTCAGCTTACTGACGAGAAAACATAGTGCCTAATAGGAGGAGAATTTGTATAGAAAGTCACCCTAAAATAATTAACAGAGGAAAAGAAAGTGTTGTGCTCAGACTCATTTGAGAGCATAATCTTAATATTGCCTAGGTCCTGAAACCTCTCTTTGTATTGCTTATTGTTGGGGAAATAGAGCCCATTGCCTCCATGTTAAGATCTTGAGTCCTTCCTAGTGACAAAGAATAAGCAACTCGACTAAGGCTAGTGCACAGTTTTCTGGCTTTGTTTGTTTTGTAAGCTTTTGCTTTTTAAAACAGAAGCTAAGATAGAATTGTAATTAGAAGATTGTCAAGTATAAGACAACCCCCAAAACATTGGTCTATCATTTAAAAGCTTTGATGTTGAGCACATTTTAGTTGGGTTCTAGTTTTATTTACTAATTGGACATGTCTGAGCCTTAGCTTCTTTATCTGTAAAATAGGATTAATAATGATGTATATACACCTTTAGAAAACATTGCACAAAGAAGGCTCTAGAGAAATATTATTTCTCCTCCTTATGAAAAAGCGTTGAGACCTGATAAGAATTTTAGATTAACTAGAAGAAACTAGGAGGAAAAAAAAAGGACTTTGTAAATGTTCATAGTTAGTGTGATAGCTACTCTATACAAATATGTGTACATTTGCCCCAAATCTCCATGAAAGTATGTAATATTGAGAATAGTTACCGGTCAAGATTTTGATAGCTGTTTTCCTTTGAAACATTTATTTCAAATTATATTATTTTTATAATAATACTATAAAATGTAAAAAGAAACAAAGAAAATTTTCCTGTCAAAGTAAGTAAAACTGCAAGAGGGTTTATTAGACTTGAAATATTTCCTTGACTCTAAGCCATTTGTTTAATTGAATATAAACTCAAATTTATTCTGATTATGATAAATATATTTTAGTTTCAAAACTCAACTGTGGTAATTGAACAAGTGTAAATTTTAAAATACCCTTTATGACCTCACTTTCAATGCTCAAAAAATCAAATTTAAGTTGAATTAGAAGTTGACACAGTTATTCTTGACTGAGTTGCCTTCTGTGTCCTTGGCAGATTTTATATATTTCACAACTTACTTCCAACTTTATGCAGCTTAAATCAAAACAGCATGTGCCTTACTATAGGAACAATGCGAAGAAGGCTAGTTTTTCTTTCTTACATTTTATGAGAAATTTTTCAAATGATGAGAATCCAAATGGCTAATATCTTTCTAGCTATTATTATTCATAAATATAATTTTGTCAAGACTTGTGGTTTTCAATCCATTTTTTGTCTATAAATAGGAAAATATATTATATGAGATTCTACAGCATTTTGTTATTATTAAATCTAAATTTAAATAGGAATAGATTCACTAAAACCTAGGTAGTTAAGTTTACATTGAATATTTCCCATAGAAAAAAAAGAAGCTTTCAGATTGGGTGTAAATAACTTGTAGGTTACAATATTAAGTCTGCTTGTGTGTGTGCGCACATGTGTAATTATTTTCTACCTTAGCATTTTGAAATTTAGAGACAATAGTGGTGAAGATAGATGAGTTGGTCAATAACTTTGCTAAATTTAAAAAACTATTATGTTTAGGGAGGTGTTAGAATTACTTTAAAAAAAAAAATCAATGACAAACTTGATCCCATCTAAAGTTGTGTCACAGGAAGCCCTTTGTAGTTATCTTCCAGCAGCTGAAATCTCACATTCCCGTTCTCATAGCAATATTTTTACTTTTCCTGATTGATGGTTAATTTGGGGATTTTACAGCTGTGTAAACACATTTACGCCAGTAAATTATGCCTGGTATGCGTGAAGTATGTTTGTGTTAAGAGTGATTTAAACACTCTTAATATTTGCAAGTAAATTTAACAAATGTGTTAGTTTATGTATTTGATATTTTAGGTATAAATGCATGACTCATATCCTGTTCTGGCTTGATAAAATACTCTGAATGAAAACAAATGATATCCAATGATTCCTTCTTTCCAGGCATCAATAGATCAATAAAAACAAAAGTAGCCTCTCTATGTTTGTTATAAGTAGTTCTTCTTAGCCTTTGCATTTTCTCACACTGCATGGAAGCAATGCTGAGATTTCACAGAATTAGGCAGTAGTTGGGTAGAAGCATTTGCGACCAGTGGGCAGCAATTTAATGTATAATTTGATTTAGATTAGTTTATATGTACCATAGATAAATTCACTATAAGTGTTAATATTCCTGGAGCTGAGGACCTTTAAAGGCAAAAATCTAAACAAAACTAATCTTTCCAGTATCCTATCAGGATGAAAAAACCAAAACAAGTGAAAAGCCCAAGGTTAGGTTTTATGCCTTCTGACCCTTATTTTCCTGACTCAAAGTTGGCATCTCCAGTTGAGACAGAATAATTGTTACATTGATGTATGGACTTGCACTTTCTGGTCCAGATAGAGTTCAACTGGATAAACCTCTTTTTGCTATATATTTACTCTGTTCTTTTCCACCGGTCATGACTTGCTGATTCATGTACAAGATTCTCCCAACCACTGGGGCATCAACATGGTGCAAGCTATTCAAAGGGCTCAACCTCTCTTTTTCTCCTAACATTCCTTTCCGTTTGTCTCATTTATCTTGAGAATCTCTGCCCCAGACATCAGAGTTTCCCTGGGTTCAGAGCTTCCTTTGACTTCAAAGAGCCCTGCCTGTTAGATCAGGTTTGAAGCACATGAAGGGAAAAGAAAAAACAGAAGTTCTGTTACCTAGTAGAATGCCACATTATGCTCCAAGGAAGGAACTGAGCATTCACCATCTAAATGTAGAATTCAGTCCTTGTTTGGGGGAAAGGACATCCTAGTCAGATAGAATGCCCGTAGTACATTTGCCCATCATGGCTGCCTAGTTCTCTGAGCTGCAAGATAACAATACCTCAGGATGCTGTGCCATCCAGGAATTAAATAAGACATAAAGATTAGAGTTTTTCCCCTCAAAAAACAATCGCAAGTTTTGTTTAGAGAACAGCTTATCAAGATTGAATTCAGAGAAATCCAGAAGTTTGTGTTTACTCCCGATATCTCTGACAGAACAAGAACGTATAGTAGAAGTGATAAAAGGTTTTTCTTGAAAAGAAAATTTCAGCTGTGATTAATCTAGAATCATCCATATCTGGCTATACAACTAAAATAATTATGTATTCCTTAAATTCACAGTTTTTTTTTTTTTTTTTTTGATGATGAAGATCAGCCCTGAGCTAACATCTGTTGCCAGTCCTCCTCTTTTGGCTGAGGGAGATTGGCCCTGGGCTAACATCCGTGCCCACCTTCCTCTACTTTATATGTGGGACGCCTGCCACAGCATGGCTTAATAAGTGGTGTGTAGGTCTGTGCCTGGGATCTGAGCCTGCACAGCTGCCGCAGTGGAGCGCACGAACTTAACCACTAGGCCACTGGGCTGGCCCCAAATTTACAGTTTTGAAATGCAAAGATTAAACCAACAGAGTAAATCATGATGAGATGGAGAGAATATAGGTGTAATGACATGGAAATAAATGATTTTTTTTTTTTGATGTGCTATTTTGCTGCCTGAGACTGAGGGGAATAGAAGAAAAAAAAGAAAAGAAAAGTTAGCGATAAAGTCCCATTCCTCAGGATTT